CAAGGAATGACAATGCCCTTCACTCAAGAATTCGCTGCTCTCATCGGCCTGGCTCCTCTCCCACAAGCACAACACCAAATCTCAACCAGGGAAGGCGCCTGGGACACAGGTGCCACCGGTTAACGCCCACACCTGCGGCTTCCACGCCACTGAAGGATGCGCCTGCCCTCAGGACAGCGCCACACGTTAAGAAACCGCTGGGTCACAGGCAGACACCCTCCTAGCCCTTAGGTCCAAAGACGGTTTGCAGAATTAACATGTGCCAGATGTGAACATAATGCAAAGCTCCACAGAGCCGTTAGGAAAAATGGAAATTCGGAGAGCATGTTGCTAAACAAAAGTAAATTAGGTTACCCACTTCAGTGTCAACAGAGAGGAGTGTGTGTATACAGTTGAAACAACACAAATGCTAGAACTCAGAATCAAAGATTACTGGAAAGAATGTTTGCACAGCAAAATTCTTTTCCCTTTGAGACTAAAATGCCCCACCATGCTTAATGTTCCTGACATTTCTGAGGCTCTGAAGCCACAGCTAACGGATCTGAATCATCTGAGCAAAACCATGGGATAGTGAGTGGCATGTTACTGGAAAGCCGAGAATAGAATGCTAAATATACAGACACACACCCATACCGGGCACTTTTGAAGAAAAAGATCAAACATGAAACTAGATAAAGTTGTCTGTAACAGAGTCGGGGGAGGTGTCCACAGGGAAGTGTGACCCATGGCACCTGGAAGTTAAAATAAGAAACGCACAAAAATAGTGCCTACCTTTTATTGCTAAAGCCAAACCTAAGCCGTACATGACGGCGCTCCCTGAACACCTCACCCATGGCTGCTGCCGGCAAAGGAAGGCTGGGAAGCAGGAAGGACCTTCTCCGGGAATCTAAGTCACGCTTGTGTCAGGGGTCCTGGCCGTGAACGGGCCGCACCCACTGCTCACCTAGGGAGGGTCGGGGAGGACAGTGCCCGGCCACCACAGGCTCCGTGTGTCATCACCCTTTTTCTTAGACAAGCACGCCACTTGGAGCTGCATTCTGCTTTATTTGGGTTGGCAGTTTAAGTACCAACAGCGGGTGGCACCGCGGCTGAAGCGCGAACTAGGTCAGCCTTGGCCTGCCTGGGGAGCTCCCTGCGCCTGGCCTCACTCATCCTCCAGGGGCTGCCTCGGGGGCCTGGGCGGGAGGCCCCTAGAAGGTGACAGTCCCCGGCAACCAGCATTCCCTATTCTGACCAGAAAGAGCTCTCAGCGTCTTTTTCCTTCAAGAAGAAGCAAAGGCGTCCAGGGTTTTCAACAAGAAGCCCCTTGTTTGGGAACTAGAGACACTAAGTTACAGGGTAAAGTGAGGCGCCCGCACCTCCCGGCTCAGTCAGCTACCGACAGGGAGGGGGGGGCCAGGGTCCGGGCCACGGGGGGCAGCAGGTGGGGGGCAGGAGCCGGGGTAGGGGCGTGGGGACCAGGGTTCAGGGCGGAAGTTTCGGGGTCAAGACTCCAGGGCCAGGTTCGGGGTCTGGGGCTCTTGGACTAGGGTTCCGAGGTCTGGGTTTGGGGACCTCGGACAAGAAGGACTGGTGTTCAGGGACCTGAGCTCAGGGGCGGGGTTCAGCCTGCGGAGTTCACAGGCTGCAGCTGGGGGACTGGGATTCTGGGGTTCGGGGAGGGTTCCAGGCACCGGGTCCGCGTCCCGGGGTCCTGGGTGTAGATCCCGGGGCTCAGAGTCGGGTCAGGGGCCGGGGCTCAACGTCCGGGTGCGGGGTCCCGGGTCCCGGGGTCCCGGGGTCTCAGGGCTCAGGGCCGGGGCTCAATGTCCGGGTCCCGCGCGGCCGCGGCACTTACGTCGTCGAAGAGGGAGCCCACGTTGGCCGTGACCAGCAGCACCGCGGTGCCCGGGGCGGCCGCCTTCCCCGCCATCGTGGCCCGGCCGGCCGGCAGGGTGTCCACGGGCCGCGCGTCAGCTGCGCCGCGGGGCGGCCCCGGGGCGCATCGCGGGCTCGGCGGTTCGGGCCGGGCCTGGCCGGGGTCCNCCCTGATCGCGTGTTCAGTGTTTTGTAAGAAATGACCCGATAAACCGTTTCCCGAGCCCAAGAGCTCTCCCGTGCCGAGTTCAGACGAATGACGCTGGAAACAAGCCCGAGCGGCCGCCGGCCGCCCGCTGACGCCCGTGTGTTGCAGGTGAGCGAAGCCGAGGTCAACGGGCACCTGGAGTCGGTGTGCGAGTCCGTGTTCAGCGAGGCCGAGTCTCAGGCCATGGACGCGCTGGACCTGCCCGGCTGCTTCCGGACGCGGAGCCACAGCTACCTGCGAGCCATCCAGGCCGGCTACTCCCAGGACGACGAGTGCGTCCCCGCGATGACGCCCTCCGCCCTCCCCGCCAGGGCCCCCGCAGGTAAGGACGCCCGGGCCAGGTGGGCGGGCCCTGAGGGGCGGGGCCCTGAGGGGGCGGGGCCGCGCGGGGCGCTCCTGGGTCAACCTGGGCCGCTTCCCGGCTGCGCGCCTGTCAGTCAGCGGCCGCCCACTCCACCCTGGCCCGCCCCGCGCCGCGGCTACGTGCTGACTCCGCCCTCCGCACTGCTGTGACGTCACGGCCGAGCTGGGAAGGCACCTCTTAAAGGGGCCGCGCGCGACTCCTGGTCTCAGACGGGCCCCCGGCCCTCCTTCCCGCGGCTTGCGGTGTGCAGCTCCTGCCGAGCTTGGCGGCACCCCCGGAACTGGAGCATGTGGCCCCGCGCCTGCGGGTCTGGACTCTCAGAAGTGGAAGAAAGAAAAGGCCAGGGGGGTGGGGGGGTGAAGGGGGACTGGGTGGGGCTCAGCGCGGACCGTACAGCCGGCACCCAGGTGGGGTTCCGAGGGCACAGGTGGCCGGGGTGGGGCGCGACGTGCGCGGCAGGTGGACAAGGCCCTCTGCTGGGGCTCAGGGGCGGGAGCTGAGGACCCTCCGGCCCACGCACCCGGCGGCCCCTGGAAAGGCCCCAGTTTGTAAGGCTGAACGTCCCGGCAGCTACACTTTGCATAAGGTAACTAGTAACTTCCAAAAGTAATATTAGCGATACACTTTATTCAACCCGAGAGATACCAGTATCATTCGACATGTACCAGCACGTAAACGTTATTAGCGCGTTTTTCCACAGCGAGACACTGAGCAGCGTGGGACACTCACAGCTCATCTCAGTTCGCACAGCGCCTTTCCAGGGCTCACAGCCACGGGAGACCAGCCACCCAGCCGGACAGGGTCGCTGCCCGCGCAACTTAGGGGTGGAGAGTGGCACGGAGAAGGAACCAAGCCCCCGGCACTGGTCTCCAGCAAGGCCAGCCTAAGTAAATGTCAGCGCCCAATAACATTAGGAGATGCGAGTGCTGTTCTATTAAAACAGAGGGACAGACGCCACCTGCGGGGAGGGGAGAGACTGCTGGGCAGGCTGTGTGGGCCACCTGCTCTCACTAAAGAAGGTACCACCTTTACTTGTCAACTCACCTGAGGGCCCTGCTTACAGCAGCACTTACCCTCAACACCAAAACCCAATGTCCAGTTCAGTCAGTGGATGTGGGCCATGGGCTGAGTAGTTTCCCTCTAAAATTCATAGGTTGGGTTGAAGCCCCAACCACCAGTGTGGCTGTACTTGGAGATGGAACCTGTAAAGAGGCCATAAGGGTGGGGTCCTTTTCTAATAGCATTAGTGACCTCATAAGGAGAGATTCCAGAGCACTCGCTCGCCCCCTCACCCTCCCACCCCTGAACAGTAGACAGAGGGAAAGTCATGTGAGCACTGCCAGAAGGCACCCCGGGAAGAGAGAGCCCCTCCGGAATCCCAGCCCTGCAGGAACTTGATCTTGGACTTCAGAGAAATACGTTTCTGTGGCTTAGGCTGCCCCATGTGTGTATTCTGTTATGGCAGCCGGAGCAGACTAACACGGCATCTCGTTTTACTTTTTTACAAAATCAGCATATGCCAAGGATGCCCTTGGTAGAAACCAAATGTCAGGGTATCACGGATGCCTGGAGCCTAGTTCCTGAGAAATGGCTTTGCTGCCTCCCCCTCACACACACACCCCGACACAGGCTGGTCTCTCCCTCGCACCCCAGCATTCCTTGGCAGAGAGACACACGTGCACACCTGCACATACATGCACACACACGCACAAACTCGCTTACTCTGAGACTGCACCTAAATTAGAGAAATAGAGAAGCCCCGACCAGACCCCAGGCACCCCTCAGATCTTGGGGCAGCCTCACTGGGCACCAAGCCTCCAGGCTTCTCACCACTCCGGGATCTCATTTCACCCGTTCCCCCTCTTCAAGCCACCAACAGGCCTTCCGCACTTGGAGGATGCCCCTGGCCCTCCACCAAGAAAGGACTTGCAGTCCAAGAGCTCCCTGCTGCGTCTGTGGGCCCCGTCTGCTGGCTACTCTTTGCTTCCTCCATCCTGCCACCCCTCCTGGGTCATGCCACCAGCTCACACACACACTGCAGGCTCAGACCCTACAAAACCCTCCTTTGCCCTACACCCCTCCATTTTTCTCACCTCTCTCCGCTCCCTTTGCTGCAAACCTTCTCCTAAAAGTCATTAGTCTTTGCTCCCAAGTGCCAGCAGGCCACGCTCTTCCAGACCCTCAGACCCACACCTCACTGGGACCATCATCAGTTATCATTGGCCCTTGGTTCAGCTGCCCATCCTCACCCATGATCTCCGCTGACTTTCCGTTATGGTTGACACACCTGTCTTCCTGCAGGAAACGGGGTCTGCCTGGAGACCATGACATTTGCAGGCTTGGTCCCCCCCTTGCTGCCCACCCCCCAGCCTTTCCTGGCTCCTCCTGGTGCCCCACCCCAAATCCTGGGCTCCTGGGGTGGTCCTGGTCCCTCCTTCCTGTCTGTGCGCTGCCTGGTGGCTGACCTCCATGTACCCATCCGCACCTGTGCCTATCCAAGCGCCTGCCTGGGCGCTGCATGGGGCAGGGCGGCTCCGATCCGCCCCTCCTCCAATGGACCCCCTGGCTGTTGGTGGGACCCAGGGCCAGCTCAGGGCTATGACAGCTGTGCTTGTCTCTGTGCTCCAGAGGTGACTTGACTGGCTGCTTCTGGCTCTCAGGCCTCTCAAATGCCCTTCTTCCAACAGACTCCACCCCACACACTGCACCCCATGTGCCCCCTCACTTCGCCCACTGCACCACGGAAACCAGGCTGTCCTTCCCCTCCGCCACGCAGGCACAGCCTGACCGCTGGCCTCTGCAGTCTGACAGAGCCCGCCACGGAGAACACCCGGTAAATGTGCATCACGTGAATCGATGACACGCCAGACCATCACCACGCCTGGGGCCAGTGCTACCTGACTGTCAGAGAGATATTGAATGCCGACATCACCCATGTTAAAGCCACGTTGTACAATCATGGGTGAGAAGGAGGCTTGCTTTTGCTATATGCCCTTTTCATCTTTGAAGTATTGTCCCATGTCTGGATGTTACCTTTGCCAACATAATAACAATAAGTTTCGCAAAGCCCCACTCACCCAGCTGCTGGCGATGCCTGGCCCCTCTAGCTGGACCCACCTCAGTGCCGAGGGCAGATGAGGGGAGGCGGAGGCAGCCGGAGCTGTGACACTGATGCCTCAGAAGGAGCCATCCTGCTCCGACCCAGCCTGCTTAGACACTCTCCAGGTTCCCAGGAGGGACCAAGTCTTTTGTTAAACAACAATGTGCTGTAAGCTTTTTTAAAGGGACAGCACATTAACCACTAAATATCACATCATTGCTCAGTTTAGAATAGTAACCAATTTATTTATGGTTCAGATTATTAGACAGTTGACAGGTTTACAGCTGGGATTCCTTGTCCACAAGCATGCTTAGAAGTCATCCTTCAGTGGATGGATGGATGGATGATACTTCGTAGTTGCAAAGTGTGTTTCAATCATTTAACAATCAATTTTCAGTACTCCTGCCAGGTGAGTCAACCTTATTCCATTGTATATAAAAACACTGGTTAAATGACTCAATTATTTTTCTGTAGGCGGAGAGCCTGGCTAGACACAGTGAAAGGAACCCAGGGATCTGTCCTCTTTGTGAGGGGCTGGATGTGGTGGCTTTAGCAGGAGGTATTTTTGCCATTAGTAAGTTAATGGGCAGCTTATTACTTGACCTCAGATTCATCTGGGGGAAGGGAAGTTTCTTTCCCTCTGAATTATTTGGGTACTTCCCTCATTAATTAGCTTAGTAATAGCTACCACTCCGCAGGCACCATTGTGGAAGTTGCTTTACAATTCTTCCTAGTCCTCACAGCAGTCTTACAAAGCATGAGTGTTTTGTAGATAAGAAAACTAAGGTTTCGGGGTTAAAAAGCTGGCCACATTTACACGGCCAGTGGGTACACGGCTGGGAACATGACCAAGCCAGGACTCCAAGCCCTGCTGGTCACCAACAGCACCATGCAGCCTAAACCTATGTCCATCCAGTCATTGATTTACTCATTCATTTCTTCAGTCAGCAAATATTTATTGAGCACCCTCTCTGTGCTGTGCACTGATCTAAACAGCAGGGGAGATGGTCTGTGTCCTCAGAAAGCTGAGATTCCAGCAGGAGAACAGGCAAGAGACACATGAGGGTCACTCTGACTAGGTAGCATTGTACCAGCTTACTGGACATTTCCTTATAAAAGTCACATGTTCGTCACAGAACATTGAGCACAATGGCGCAGTGTGAGTGCAGGACAAGCAGGCCGGTCCCTCATAATGTCACCGCATGGGCCCCCAGCGTTGCTGCTGTCCTGACAGCACTTCTGCGAGCGCTGCTTCTACTCAGTCCTGCCCTTGGCGCCCTGGTCAGGCTCTACCCACAGCTTTGACTCTGGTTTTTAAAACACAGCGTGATTATGTAAGTGCTTCCTGGTGCAGCCGAGAATTCCCCCTGAGTGTTGTAATGCCTGTACCCTCACCTGACAGGCACGTTGTGGTTTTCCTAACCGGTGACACCCAGCACTGTGAGGTTAGCTGGTTTTCAGCTCTGCGTGATCAGGTCAATGGATTCAGAAAGGCATCTGACAAAACTGAACACCCTTTTTACGATAAAAAAAACTCTGCAAACTAAAAATAAAGGGAACTTCCTAAATCTGATAAAGGGCACATGAGGCATTTCCAGCCCACGTGGCATTCAATGCTGACAGACTGAGCGCTCACTTCCCAGGGCCTAGAGCAAGATGGCAGCAACCCCTTCTCTCCCTTTCCAGGAAGCCTCCAACAGGAGATCTGTCTGTGCAACAAAATAAGAAAAAGAAATAAAAGGCACCAACAGTGGAAAGAAAGGAGTAAAACTGCCTTTGTTTTCAGGCAACATGATCATCTGCATAGAAAATCCTGACAAATCCACACACAAAAAAATACTACTAACCAAGTGAATTCACAAAGTCAGGGATACAAGTCAATATTCAAAATTGTATTGCTACATATCAGAAATGCACATTGGACAAAAACTTGAAATCATTTCCACTTACTGTAGCACAAAAGTTAAAATGTGTAGGAACAAATGCAACAAAAGGTGTACAAGACTTCTGCAGTGGAAACTCGGAAACAAGGCAGGTGGAAGGGAAGAGACCCACACGAGTGCAGAGGCCCTGCTCCGCAGTCCCGGCACCCTCGGTATTCTTTTCGGTTGGTTCTTCATCAGCTCCATCAGATTGGTGCACTTGTAACTGTTCCCGATGGGTCTGAGGTCCCTCTCCAGCCGGGGCTTGCAATCTGGACCCCTCGGCTGCTTGCTCTCTCAGCACTGGCCAACCCGGCCACCCCCTTGCAGCCCAAACAGGGACCGAGCGTCAGCACTGCTCTCACTCGACTTGATGCTTGACTGTGGAGGAAATTAAGGTGATTTGGGGGCTCTCCTGGCGAGGGAGCTGCCTCTGCGACCCGATGTGTGTGGAGCACGTGAGGCCTGCTCTGTGGAGTGGGGCAGTCAAGGCCTTTCCTTTGGCACAAACAGGTTGTTGGCAGGGCCAAATTATTCACATACAATTATGCAGAAACTGTTGCCACGTACCGTTGTCCAGGAGGGCAGGGGCTGTCCACAGGAGGCCTGCTGGTGACACTACCCCTGCTCATAGACACGTCCCGGCCACAGGCTGACCCTCTGTGTCCAAAGGATTCACAGGTTCCAGAACCCCTGAGCCCCAAATGATAACTAGAACAAAGCCAGGACAGCCACACCAGGACAATCCGTGTCTGGCTAGGCAGCGCCCCTCTCGCGGTGGGTGTCAGAGCTTCCAAGCCACTGAGCTCGCTCTGAGGGAAAAGCCATAGAGCTGGGACTTTTCCCCGATGACCAAGTTTAGACGGGCCAACTCTTGCTCTAACAGTCAGCGTCACTCGTGTTGGCAACCGGCAGCCCGTGTTTTTCAAGGGTTCTTGACTCAGCCATAGTTTCTGTTTTGCATCTTTGTATTAATGAAATCAGCTTTACAAAGATTCATCTCCGTTGTCCGTTGTTCGAATCTTTGAGACTTTACACATACCTTAGCATTGTTTTCCAAGAAACAAACCAGCAAACAAACAAACCCCACAACACTCTAGACCCTTGGTGAACAGTCTTCTGTGAGCTCTGGTGCCTTTTCCCTGAGGCCCGCCCAGAGCGGTTCCCTTTGCTGGTGTGCGGGGAACACAAAGCGTGCTTGGCACACGTGGGCACCAAGGGGCAGGGAGTGGACGGGCGGAGAGCGGAGAAGCAAGCGGGCCCATGAATAAATGATCTCACTAAGTTGAAATGGTTCAATGAGAAGACACCATTTTATTAAATTTTTATATTATGTTGAGTAATAGCCAGTTCAATTTAAATCTCACTGTTTACACACACCACATGTTTTTCTCTATTAACGTCAGGTCTCCGATGATTTCTTTTGGACCAGCTACAGTTTTGCTTTGGTGGAGCCCCGCTGATAACGCACTGTCAGCATGTTTCCTTTGTTCTAAGCAAAGTGGTGGAAACGGTGATGCCTTGTGGTCAGTGGCAACGGTGGCCAGTAGCTTTGAGCGCTGGAAAGAAGCCCGGTGACACTGGGCTGTTTCAGACAGCTTTGGCAATTGAGGGTCATCTTCTCTTTCAGCTGAAAGCAGTTTTAGCAACAGCTTGGGGGATGCTTCCCTGAAACTTTCCACTCGAAACTGGAAAGAAGGGTGACAGGAACGGGAAGGCGTGTGTTGTGGGTGGGCGGACAGACATCACCTGGCTGGCCCCAGGAGAGCGGCCATCAGCTGAAAGTCAGCCCCGGGGAGTGGGGGACGGGGAGGGCAGGGGGAGGCGGTGGCCCGGTCCTCAGAGGGGCTCAGAACGTGGCAGCAGTATTTGGTGTGGGGTTGAGGGAGCAAGAGTCCCCCAGGCCATGAGAATTTGGCTTGGCAGGCAGACTTGTCAGACAGTGAGTCAGCCTGTGGCCCACAGGACCCAGAGGGACCCCACCTGAGACACATCCCAGTGGGACGCGCATGTGGGCACGGCAGGGAGTCCGGCCTCCAGGACGGGTGGCCCTCCTCACCACAGTCAACGGGCGCATGGCCCGTAAATGCGTGCTGCTTTGTGCAGGCTGACGCCATGCTGCCTGTGCTTTAGAGCTAGGATTTCTGTGTTTAAAGGCAGGAAAGAGCGAAGGAAGGGAGGGAGAGAGTGAGGGAGGGAGGAAGCGTGGAGGAAGGAGAGAAGGAAGAGAGAAAAGGAAAGCAAACAGGTGGTGGCTATGACCTCTGAGACGATGTCTGCAATTACTCCTCGAGCTCCAGCTGCTCGTGGCCAAAGGCCACACCGGCTTCGTCCGGTCAGGTGTGGGTTATCCACTCAGGGTGAACGAAGACACCGGGCCTCACCTTTAGTACAAAAGCAACGCGTTTTTGAATCTCTTTCTATTTAAAACGTTTACATGTTGGCAATACCGTATGGAAACAGGTTCCTTCCTAAAAACAGGAAAGCCGTGAGCATAATGCTGAGACGGGAACAGAGCTCCGTCCCTCACACCGGCTACTTCAACTCACCATTGGTTCGTATCGAAGGATAAGTCAAGTCTAATAAGAAAAATTAGTAAAAGCCAAATATTTCATTTTCTTCTTATATGTATTTATGGTTTTTCTCATCTCTTCAATGAAACAAAATATATTGTTAATACTACTAAGGATATTCTGATATTATGACTTATTCTGATATTATATATACATTCTTTCGTTTGGTAGGAAGTCTTTATTATCCTTTTAATTATAAAGTTAAAATATGTTAATATCAAAAACAAGCCTTTCTATTAATGCAAGAATTCTTATATATCCTTCAGTACAATTTCCTTTAAAAAAAAATAATGTCATGCATCCTTCTTAAATTTATTCCTGGGTATTTTAATCTTTTGTCATTAGAAATATGATTGTCTACTATCACATATTCAAAGGAGTGGAGTTTGTAAATAGAAATGCTATTAATCGAATAATATATATTTAGCATTTGGAAACTATTGCTTCTAGTTTTCTCTCTTTGATGACATATTAGACGTTCTCTTGGATTTTTCAGGCAGGCAATTGCATTAACACATTTGAAATGGAAGTTTTGATGCTATTTAAAGCTAAATTAAGATATACCCGAGAACAGAAAATATATGACAGATGTTTTTCAAATCACAGATAGATTTAACTAAACCACTTATTTTTTCAAAGTGTAAGTCAAGTAAAATATTTACTTTGCAACATGACCTATTATCGCTTTTTAAATTGTGTACCTTCAGGAGTAAACTATTTCAAGAATTCTTCAGGAACATCAAGCCCACCTGCCAGGTCCCGGCAGCCTTGGGGGCAGGTCAGGGCGAGGGGCTCAGGGCTGAGGTATCAACGCCTCACCTGCACCGTTTCTTGTCTTTTTCGTGTGTGTGTGTGTTTTTTTTTCTTGGACACGGTTTCCTTCTGCCAACACTAACTTAGGCTGGCAGGAGTAAATGGCCCAAAATGTAGTAGCAGAATTGCAGATGGTACAATTACCCACTCAGCAGCTGGTGCTCTCACCTCTCAACTTTAAAACGGGTCTAGGATCCATGCGTGGAACCGTTGTGTTAATAAAAGATTCATTCGACTCCAAGCCTGCTTGGAAACTGCAGATTCTGCCTTTTCCAGCCAAAGCCCAGATGACAAACCAGACAGGGCCCTTGAAATTTCAGGGGGGACAAAGACCCACACCCCTGAGGCCCTTCATAGCACTCGCACACTCCCCACCTCACTTGGGGCCTGCTTCTGTCTGTGGTCCCTCGGCAGCTCGACACTTGGCCTGACCCCAGGAAGGGAGGCCTTCCTCCCCTCCTTCCGCTGCCTTGGTGTAGGGGAGAGGTCTGGGCTCCCAGGACTCCTTTCTCCATCCGGACATCTAAGGCCAGCGGGGCAAGAGAGTGGAGGTCAGCGGCATGCCTGGGCTCAGCCTCGGGGCCAGAGCAGAGGGCCCAGCCCAGCCCCAAGGCCCCCACACAAGGCAGCAGGTGGATAAAATGTGAGAATTGGTTTCTGTCTGTGCATTTTCCTGCAGACCGTGCCCAGGACACAGGGTATGGGGTGGCCTGGTCCGTGGGGATCAGCCCCCAGTGGCTGCACAGCACCGAACACTGCTTGCCTGTCAGAAACCAGCTCCAAGACCCAGCTGCCTCTGCAGAGACCCCGGGCCCGGCCAGGGGGTCCACGCCCTCCTCTCCAGGACGGGGGTTTGCATGGCACTGCCCTCTCAGTGAGGATCTGCAGCAATGTCCCTGTGTCCTGTTTCTTAGGGCACCTCTCTGTAGTCCCCGGCCCCAACAACGTGCCCTGAACTGAGTCGTGGGAGGGACCTTACCCTCCGTCCCTCAGGCCCAGGCTCACTGCCCACCAATGGGGGCCTCCGGCTCCTGCGGTCAGGTGGGTCAACGAGGGCCAGGGGCACAGCCCTGGGGCAGAGCACAGGACAGGCCTGTGGGGTCAGCAGCACCCAGCCCAGCCGGCTGTGCAGGGAGCTCAGGGAGGCAAGGTCCAGAGAGTGGCCTGGAAGGACCTCAGGACGATGGGCCCCATCGTCACTGCGTGGGTGGGGAAGGGAGGGTGCCGGGAGCCTCCCCACACAATGGAGGGCCGTGGCTCCCGCCTCCCGCTGTGGGGGGTGAGGACGGCACAGCGGGCAGCCAGGCCCAGGACACAGGAGCTTATGAGCGACCAGCCTGCAGACCCTCGGCTACCCTGGCAACACTGTGAGCCCCACGTGGGTGGTGGCATGACGGTCCCTGGTCAGGCCTGTACAGACCCTCACAAGTGCTCCCAGACCCCCAGCTGGCCGGTGCCCCACCCATTCTACCTGCTCTGAGCTGGACCCTGAGGGTCACATGCTTCCAGGCAGCCTGGGACGTCTCTTTGGCATCCAGGGGCTACTTGTGACCAGCACAGTTGGGGGCTGGTGCTCACCTGTTATCTGCACCTGCAGGGCCCAGGGCCCTCCTCCAGGGCTGGCAGGTTGGGGTGTTGCCTGAGGGGCACTAGGAAACTCTGTGGGGCTCCTTTCTGAACCGTGGATACAGTCTTGTCCACGTTCCTGTGGGCAGGAAGGCAGAGCTGGCCTGGGACCCTGCTTGCAGGAAAGTGAGCGCTGGAGGGTGGCGGGGGCCCCGGGGGTGCCCACGGGCAGCTTGGCTTTCTGTGGAGGAGGACCTGCCCCTCCCGTTCAGGGTGTCTGGGGGGCGGGCAACCCCTCTGAGAGGCTGGCTGGTTTCTGGACCTTTCCACAAGAGATGCTGTCCTGGCGGGTGGGGCTGGACACGGGGCCCCCAGTGCGACTCTCCACAAATGACTGCACCCCCAGCCTCGACTTCCCCATTGGAGAAGGGCACGGCTGGAGATTGGGCCCCGGCAACCTGCGGGCAGCAGCGTGAAGATAAGGACTCTGCCAGTTCCCGGTGGGGCACCCAGTGGTGCTGAGTGCCATCCTCCAGCTGAGACCTACCCTGCGGTGCAAAGGGTGACAGACAGAAGTGGTCCCTGCACGACAGACACGTCAGCATCTTTTCTCTGCGTTCTCCCCCAGCACGAGCCCTCCAGCCCACGCACGTAAAAGAAAGAAACTTATGGAGCCAACCCAGCATGTACTTTCAAAATATAAGCATGGAGACACATGTTACATAAAAAGGAGAAGTGCCTTCTGGCTGAGCCCCAGCTGACGGTGCAGAGCCAACCGCTTCTAACCTCGGAAAAGGCAGACCAGAGGCCCCCCCTCCCCCAGGCTATTTTAAGCTCGGGCTTAAAAAGTAAAAGCAGCTGTAATGTGAAAAGTTTTAGGAACATGCTATTTCCTGGAGCGATGGGACGGAGAGCTGGCCGTGGGGCCCGTGCAGCTGGAAGCCTCCCCTGGCAGAGCCGGGGCACCAGGCCCCAGGCATGCAGCCTGGTCTGCCTGCCATGGAAGTGCCGGCTCTCGGTGATTCATGCGGGTGGGGTGCTGGGCAAAAGCCCTGGTGGGCGTGTCCAGCGGGGCCCCACCACAGGCAGACTCAGAAGGAGAGGACCGCCCTGCCCACGTGGCCCATCTGCCCCCACAGCTGCCTCTAGGGCCCAGGCCAGGGTCCTCGTCGGTGCCTGGGAGACCCTCCGGCATTTTCCTGCCACCTGAGGTGCCTACCCAGAGAACTCTGCCCGGATTTCAGGGGCAGACGGGGTGGGGGGACAGAGTGAAACTGCCCCCCCATGGGCAGAGTGTGCCCTGTCAGGCAGCTGAGCCAACAGGCCCAGAGTCAACAGCGTCCGCCCCGGGGGCTTACACCCAAAGGCTGAGCTGCGACACCCAGGATGCCACTCTTGATGACAGCCCTTCAATAAACACGAAGGCTTCTTCTAGCTCTTGTGATGCGAAGCAGGGGAGGCTGTGCGCCCCGTTAATGAGCACCCCGAAGGCTGCCTTCGTCTCCCCAACCCAGGCTCCAGCACAAGGGAAGGGGGACTGCAAGGTGCCGGCAGCTGCGATGCCCCCATGCCCGCCCACCTGGCTGGTGTGCAGGACCTGCTGTTGCCGCGAGGCAGGGCCTATTCCTGTCCCCTCAGCCCCAGGCTGGAGAGGGGCCAGAGGGGGGTCAGGAGGCAGCCTCCCTCTCTGTCTGTGCCCCCTACCCTGCCTGTGCAGGGTCCCAGGCTGGACACCT